GAGAGAGAGAGAGAGAGAGAGAGAGAGAGAGAGAGAGGAGAGCTTGACAAGGTGCTTATTGCCTACCTGGAATGAAGGAACGCACCATCTGTGATTTGATCAAGCCCACCCAGACCAGACCCAATCAGCCCAGCATTCATTATTCATTCAATTACACAATTACATCCATAATTGTAAAGAACAAATAAAAATGATAAAATCAAAGCCTTCCCAGCCAAGCCGATCCCAGATAATCTAGTACTAGTTGAAGTTATTGCTACCAGAGCACCATGACGACCAAGTTGAGTGCTCCAAAACAATCCCGTCGCATTCAACCCAATGTAATCCAAACCAATCCCAACCGAAACCATTCCAATGCCACCCAAATCTAATCCAAGTTAATCCAGTCCAAACCAAACCAATCCAATCCAATCCAATCCAATCCAATCCAATCCAATCCAATCCAATCCAATCCAATATAATCCAGCCCACCAAATCCAACCCAATCTAATCCAGCAAAACCCAAAGCCTGAGCCAATCCGATCCAATCCAATCCAATCGAGTCCAATCCACTTCAATCCAATCCAATCTCCAACGCAACCCAACCCAACCCAACCCAACCCAACCCAATCTAATCCAATCCAATCTAATCCAATCCACCAAGTCCAATCCAATCTAATATAGCAAAACCCAAAACGAAATCCAATCCAACCCAATCCGATCTCCAATCCAATCCAATCCAATCCAATCCAATCCAATCCAATCCAATCCAATCCAAACCAATCCAATCCAATCTCCAATCCAATCCAATCTCCAAACCTAACCGAATCCAATCCAACCCAATCCAGCCCAGTCCAATCCAATCCAATCCAATACACCAACCCAATCTAATCCAACCCACCAAATCCAATCCAATCTAATCGAGCAAACCCCAAAATCCAATCCAATCCAACTCAATCCAATCTCCAATCCCATCCAATCCAATCTCCAACCCAAGCCAGTCTCCAATCCAATCCAATCCAATCCAACCCAATCTCCAATCCAAGCCAATCTCCAATCCAATCCAATCTAATCCAACTGAGCCAATCCAACCCAATCTCCAATCCAATCCAATCCAATCCAATCCAATCCAATCTCCAA